CCAAAAAGTCACGATACAGCGTGAGAAAGCAAGTGGTCTCAACGAGTTGAAGTGTTGAGTCGTACCATGCTGGTGAGCTTGAGCGGTGGAACGCCTCTGTCCGGCCAATCCATCCACTGATAATGTCGAACTTCTCTTGCATCCATTGATCCATCAGGTTTTGCGAATTTTACGTTCAGAATGCATACCATTACTGTCAACTCTTCAGGTGAAAGTACTCTTGTCTGAAAAGGACTAATCGGTTTACTGCAAAAGTGCAAGACCGGAATGACTACTGGGCTCCACATAACTTGAAGAGTAACCCAATATGGAACTAGTAATACATTTTTTGACTAGCGTAAACTATTTCAAATTTTAGTAAATATCTACGCTCTCATACTCACCTGCACATTGTAGACTTCAACACCATTAAATTGCTTCATTTCGCCCGTCTTGTCGGGCCAGTAGGGGTGACACTTGTATTTTCCCTAAAAATTCGTGACTTCCACTGGTCACTACAACGACTACAGCTCAGTTGATGTGACAATTATGTGCTAGGCAAAAACTGTAGCAGTCGCTCTTCAAGGAATTACTATTCAATATTACTATTTTAGTAATTTTTACGGATTCACTTTGGAATTGGGCGCTATCGCAAGATACGGGGCATCCTCGACGACTAAGCCTGGTACGGTGCAGAACTCAGGAAAATAAAAAATGCTCAAGAACCCTGAATCCTCTCCTCCCCGGCGTGGAGCTAAGTTGCATTTTCATCGAAAAGGGATTGTTCAACGGTGCTTCAAATGCAGTGCCACTACAATGCCCCTGTATCTTGTGAAAGCGCCTGGAATCGTTCTTGATTGTTAACTGCTGTTCTTGAGCACATCACAAATATGCTAGGTCATGGGCAGAATTCTTCACTTCTGGCGAGATTCGAACCCCCACCTTGCTTACCGTGTAAGGGTTCTACCAGTGTGCAGGAAGTCATACTACCAGAGCGCAATTTTACTTTATCACAGCTTTTGACGGTATATTTATCCGAGCTTGTTCAACGTTCCGGTAATACACCTATCCGGTAAGCGTGAGATGTGGGTTCGAATCCTGCCTGAAGCGAATGAGTTTCGCCCACAACTGAGTA